GCACTATGGGTGCCTAATTTGTACTGAGCTTCTTTCTATTTTTTAGCAAGTTGAAAAGGTGTACAACCATTATCCATGGTGAACAATGGCACCGACAAAATTAATATAAATTAAGGTTAGGTCATACAGGTTAGTTTTAGTAGTAGTAGTAATACTAAATTTAATTTCATTAAATTTAGTATTATTTTAAACCTTGTAGTGCTAATAGAGATTTTTGAAGTCGGTTATTTTTTTTTAATTCTTACTGAGATGTAGATATCTCCCGCGACTTACAAATCCTATCTTTCTTCCCCGGGGTACAGATTGGAAAACTTCTTTGTGGCTCGTGCCAGAGTTTGTGTGTATCTCAGAGAGGATATCAGTTCTCGTCGTTTCACTGACATTGAAGAATGGACCAGTCCATCATATGGTTAGGTTAAGATAGCGGTGACCATTGTCACGTACCTATATAAGTCCCAAATAGAGATGTAAACCGGTTTGAACAAACCGGTTTTTAATAGAACCTATTAAAACAGATTTTTGTTTAAGAAAACCGGTTTTATTGAAAGCAAAATATTGATCAATCTTACACTTAGTACGACATCTTACGCTTAAACCAAGTACCTTATAACAAACAGAGAACGGAAATCTACGACAAGTGAGTAAACACTTCGCGCTAGATGTATTTAGGAAGTATTTTTTTTATATGTAATAAAGCATTTTAATTTAAACGGTGGTAGGGCCACGCAGCGGCCTCGGCTGTTGCACGAATGGGCAGGCCCGTCCGGGTAAGTACCACGACCTCACAGAAGACCAGCGTAAAGTGGAAGCATGACAAATACTTTCGCGTTTCGTCTGGTGAGTGAGGTAGCCGGAGCCCAATTTTCAAAAGGTAGTCAACGCATCTGTAACCCTCGGGTGTGGCAGATGTCCATGGGCGGCGGTATTCACTTAACATCAAGTGAACCGTCTGCTCGTTTGACAACTTTTCGCATAAAAAAAAAGCAGCCACAAGCCACAAGACCTACAAAACCCTTTTAAATATCTGTACTGGTTGCTGTTTCTCCCTTACCTGCGGTTTATGGGCATCATGACTATAGTCCAATAAGCTCTTTTTACAGAGCTTAATAAAAACCTTTAAAAACCTAAAAATACCGGTTTTTTTTAAAAGTAATCGGTATAAAACCGGTGTGTAAAATTGTAATCGTTCACATCTCTGCCCAAAGCGGTAATATCGACACAGCAACCGTAAGAGTGCACTTTTTAAAATTGGAATATTGTTTTTCATGCAAGTGGCAACTCTGAAATTTGCCAACTGTCACTTCTGTTTATTCCGATTATTAAAAATGGAGCGCTTTTCAAAAGAACAACGCGTTATATTTTTTTGTGAAAAGTCATTATGAAAAAGGGGAAAGTTACGCTGAAATCGATCGCAAACTTCGCCAAATTTTCAGCCGAGAAAGTGCACCTATTATTATTATTATATATACTTTCTTGAACATCATAAAACATAAATGGAAATGCTACAGAACTATAAACTTAAAAAGGTACAAACAATAAGGCGGTCTTATCGCTAAGGAGCGATCTCTTCCAGACAACCTTGTGGCTAAAAATATTTTAATTTGGACAACGATAGGTGGTGTGAATGATAAACTTACATACTAACATTTAAATAAACTAAACTAATATGTTGTATTTTTGTATAATAATAATATACCAATATATACCAAATAAGATACAATAGACATACATAAATCTAAACATATACTATACAATAACTTACAAAAAAACACCTAAAGTGTAATATACTTTGACTTTGACTTTGACACCTTCATGCGTACAAGATTCAGTTAACTCAGGAGCTCAAACCAGAAGACCACGAAAAGCGCCGGCAACTCGTTCAATGGGTAATTTAGCAAAGTGAAGTCGATGGCAATTTATCGCAAAAAGTCATTTTCTCCGATGAAGCGCATTTCCATATGAATGGCTTCGTGAATACAGTGACTCAGAATATCCTCATGCAATCCATGAGAAACAAATACACCCACAACGAGTAACTTTCTCTTGCGGATTTAGGTCAGGCGGCGTGATTGGACCTTACTTTTTTGAAAATGAGGCCGAAATTGCAGGGACTGTGAACGGCATTCGTTACAGGAATATGATAATGGACTTCTTGTGGCCTCAACTGGATGGCATGAATCTGGACAACATGTGGTTTCAGTGCAACCAGCCACACCGCGAATGAACCAATCGACTTATTGCAGAAACGATTTTCAGAACACATTATCTCACGAAATTCTGATGTCAACTGGCCACCAAGACCGTGCGATTTTTTTGGGGTTTTGTCTAATCTCGGGTTTATGCGAATAAACCCGAAACAATTCTTGAGCTCAAATCGGAAATCCAACGCGTCATCGGTGAGATACAGCGACATCTCTGTGCAAAAGTCATGGAAAATTTATGAAGAGTAACGGCCTGTCATCTTTTTAACGCTCATCATGACGACCGTCTCGGTCCTTACATGATGACTTATCACGGTTTTGATACTTAAGGGAATGTAACGTTTTACTCCATTCTCTACGGTCTCTGTTGGTGACAGATCGAAGCACTGGTCCGTCGCTCCTTCAAAGCGGCATCTCGCCGTCAGGAGAGATATCGGGCCTGAACCGTTACGGTGGCGACTAGGGTGTACAACTTTGCCTGTAAGTCCTTCAAAAGAGACATCGCATCAGCAAGGTCAGAGCACATTGGCAAAATTGTCGAGAGATTACATTTCCTTCCTTCGGGAACTCGTATATTCTGGTCTTTCACCAAGCGGGCACCCTCTTCGCATCTAAATCGCATTAACGCTTTTTTGCTCCTTAGGGGAGAGAATTTGACATGGGCAATACACTCAAATTCTTGGAAGTGCACCCGATTCCCAAAAAAATGAAGAGTAGGATCCGTCCAACTATAGGATTACTGCCCTCACTGCCAGCTCCTTAGGTACCTTCAGGAGCACCAGCTCATTAGAGATCATCAGTATTTTTTTAGGTCGGGGTCACTCAGCTGTTGACCTTTTAGTGTATCTAACTCATCGATTGGCGTAGGCAGTTGAGACCAAGGCGACCAAAAGACCGAGTTCTTGTCAGTTAGTTTGGATGTAGCGATCGTAGCACGGAGCACTTCTTCCCATAATCACTTATTACGGGCTTCCTGAGAAATTGTGCAAATGGATCACTAGTTTTTTTACTCGTCCGATCAAGAAGTTCATTGTTGACGTTGCTTGCTCTGACGCTAAAAGACTAAGGACCTAAGGAAGAGTAGTACGTAGCAGCGCCATCTAGACGCAAGTTTTGAAACTACTAACCTCATGAATATATGTATAACTAGGTACCTACCTATAGATACATACATACTATAGATGCATTGACATCCATTTTTATGTATAAACGATATATAAGGTTTCTATTAGTTATTTTTATAGTAAAATTTTCTTGAATTCATAATTTCGGTAAAGTATTTTGAGAATTCGGAATTGAGATTATTATACATTCTTGATAATATGACCACTGAATATTTATTCTTTTCTAAAATACTATGAGATGCAATAAAATTATGTATTAAAATATAGATCTTATAGTACCACTTACATATTCTAGACTACCTATTTCACGAGGATCATTTTTGTTTTCAAGGGGTGTGATTGTTAGTTGTTACATGTGGTATTGAATCTATTTCGCAAGTTGACGAGGCTTTGCAGTCACTTGTGATAATTAATTCTTTCAAAACTTGACAGCTATCCTTCTCACAGTTGGCCCCTGGAGCATGAACACTAGAGAGATTATTAACAAGCAATGTTGTGAATGCTGATTCGAACCTTTCTGGTGTTGGGTTTGTGTTACGGCATCCATGGCTCCTTATAGCACCAAAAAAAATTTCTATCGGATCTTGATTGAGATGCCGCAACCAAACCGACGTCACATCATATTTTGCTTTAATATTTTTTAATAATAGTTGTATTCTCTCTAATGTCCACACCCAGTTATTTAGTGTTGGGACATATTCCACCTGTCCTGTTGTTCGGTTTACGAATTTCACATCTTTTAATCTTTGTATGGATTCAAACCAAAATTGGTGATGTAGAGACCTCGGTGTAGCAGCTCCGAGGAGAGGCTTTCCATGTTTCTGTCTTTTCTCAAAGCTTCCGTTTATAGAATCAAAAACCTTATCGAAGAAAATAAGGATATCAGCGGTATCCTTGCACTGATGTGGGAGAATACCCTTATCTGTGAAAGAAACAGTTGACTATTTTAAATTTATTTAAAAGAAACATGTCATGTGGTATGTCCTTACTGTAAGAATATACATGAGCTATAATATTTATAATTAGTAGATCATAAATTATTTCTTTCCCAAGCAAAAGAGTTTTAAGAGTTATTTTAATCAAATTAAAAAAGGGCTTCAGAGTTTCATATGTATGTAAGTGCCCAGTTTTAAAAACTATATTTGACAAATATTGAAATGTGGAAAAAAGCATTAGTATTTGTTTTGTGTCTGGGTGATGTGGGGCCTTTGTCCTGGTAGTTTCCCTAAATACAGAGAATCCCAGAGACGGGTCAGGTTCCATAGTATGTTTTTTTTTATGTGAAAAGTTGTTGTTTATGTGAAAAACGAGCAGAAGGTTCACCTGATGTTAAGTGAATACCGCCGCCCATGGACATCTGCTACACTCGAGGGTTCCAGATGTGTTGACAACCTTTTGGAAATCGGGCTCCGGCCACCTCACTCACCAGACGAAACGCGAAAGTATTATACTGCCACTTTACGCCGGTCTTCTGTGAGGTCATGGTACTTACCCGGACGAGCCTGCCCATTCGTGCAACAGCCGAGGCTGTTGCGTGGCTCTACCACCATAATGTATGTGATCATTGGGCATTATTATCTTTAAAATAAATTTCAAGTCTTTATTTAATAGATTATTTCTTATACCTTTAATAAGATGTGGTGGGTCATAAATAGGCACCATTTCGTGATCATTAATTTAAAAAAAGTTTCCGTGTGGCTCTTGTCCCTTTCTTAAAAGAGCCGCGCGAGTCTCTTGAATCAGCAACTTCAGACAGTTCACATTGTTGGTGCCTTGGTCGCACACGATCGCCACAACAATTAAGCCAGCAGCCTGCAATTCGTTGATCACTTCTTTCAACTGTTTAGCAAGTTCTGGTCCTTTGGTTGCAGCTTGGGAAAATGTGTAAGACACAGGCTGTTTGTAATTTTTTAATAGCCCACGCACCATGAACACCTGAGCATGGTCAGCAAAGTCTGCTGCTGTTGTTTGACCATTAGAGACAAAACCAACCTCTCTATCTTTTTTTCATTATATGTTAGACTGGCTTTGAGCGACATTTCATCAAATAACACAACACAAAGTCGCTCTTTCATTGTCATGTTTTTGGTAGCTTGTGCAATTAGTTTTTTCACATTTTCATTAAGCCCAGGCATGATTAATTAGTTTAGTTTTAGAAGAGTTTGTGCTGTAGGCAGGATGAATATTTTCCTCAAATATGTAAAGATTTTTCAATTATAGTGACGTCAGACTTACGTCCCTTGAATTTAAAGCATACTTTCGTAGGAAATTATTTCGGCAATAGCAACTTCGGATATAACGTCGATTTCGGTTAAACGAATTGTTTTTTTGAACCATTTATGACAGATTCCTGGAAATTCCATGCGCATATTGCGACTGAGTCGGAAAAGGCACAAAGACTCGTTCATAAAACTATTAAGCTTTATTATTCTTTGTTTATATTTACAGATGGCCAGATGTGCTTGCTTTGTTTGTAGGTATGGCTTAGCATGAGTACAAAGTTGAACTTATGAATCAGTTACGCGCTAAGACAACGGTAAAAAAGTACTGTTTGTGAAGGTAACAATAATTTGAATATTAAAGAAATTGTGAAAATTCAATACACCTTGCTATTTATTCAAAAAAATTAACTCAAACAAACACATTTTTTTCAATAACACCCATGTATTACAAACATGCTTTGGTAAATAAATATATTCTTTGGTAAATATAGACTTTCTATTTTGGATATAGCGACTGGCGGATATAGCGACGACCAAAAGTCTTACATTACTTACGACACTTATGGACAAATATTTGTCCATCCCCGGGGTCAAACCAATTCCCCTTTATTTGAAAAAAAAAATATAAAATATTCAGCTTTGTATCTCACAAACTGATAAGTCAGACAGTGCCTATTGGACAACAACCAGTAAACATCACACGTCCATGGTGGATACAGCTGCTTTTTGTTTAAAGTTTTTTCACTTATAATTTTATTATGTGAGCAGCAAAAGAAGTGAAATTTTAATCAGCTTTGTTTCCCAATCTCTACTTATTAATATAAACCTATTCTAAATATATAAAAAAAAACTTACCAATATTTTCTTTCATTGTCATATGCTCCAACTTTCCTGAATCTGGTTGCGTAGCCGCGGATGTTGAAGGATCTAGAATGATAAAAAAATATTAACTATCATCTCATAATTAAAATCTTTAATGACAGCTACAGCTGAACTGTAGTAGATGTACAGTAGTTCAACTACAATTCACAGGCAGTAATATGAGTACCGGCAGTGCCCTATATGAGGCCTCTTTAATCTGATGTGCCTATAACGAATGATACTTTAATAAAGATGGCGCATGTTCGTACTTTGCGCGTCTTTTAAACTTGACCAGATTTTATCATTTTAAGACACATGATTATGTAAGTGAATGTGACAGATGATATAGAATGTATGATATGGAAACAGATAGCAGACTAATCAATTACAACGATTGCCGTAATTTGAATGCCTCAGTTTCACGTGATAGTGTCCTCGTATTTGTATATAGTATCATTGCCTATAACATAACATAAGAAACCACATGAAAAGTACCTTTTGATACAGGGTCAGCGCTTTGTCGGTTCTTTTCAATTAATGTAAACTTTGGCAGTGATGTTGGTCCTGAAATAAAGATATAGAGAGCATGTTAAATTGCACTGAACATTGATAGTTTATTTTAATAATGTATTTTCAGCCGGCTAATGCTGTCTTTATAATCAAATTTGACTAGGTCTCCGATGTTTCTGTAATTTATAATATTATTAAAAAAAAATGAGACATCATAAAAATCTAGATTCAATTACTGTGTGCAATGAATTTCAAATTTCAGACCACTTTGAAAATTACTACAAGTTGACTTAGGATAAAAAAAATAAAGACATGGTATTATTACCTGGCATGTGCAACGTTGGTATAGCAATGATGCTAATTCTATTATTCCGGCACAAATATTTGTCTTCAAAATGTTTATGACATACACGACGATATTTGAAAATGTGGTCATTTTCAAGTCCCAATATATTGCCACCAACAGAATAGACCCATGAATTGAATAACGCATTGTTCTTCTTCGGATTTGGAAACTTGTGCAAAGTCTCAGATGAACCTGAAATTAATTAACTATTATTATTTTGTCAAACTAGGGCTTCAAGTAGAGAAGACTAGAACAATAATTCACTATATAAATGCGTACACAAATGAAAATAACCCCTGGGAATGAGTTGATCGCTCCCAAGGTATTTTATAAAAAATAGAAATATATAAATTGTCGGTAAAGGTGCCGCTGTGCCGCTAATATAGCGGCACAGGTCTCTTATAAATATTTTTAAGTCATGATTAGATGTTAAGAGTAAATATTTACGATTTTGCCTATTAATCATTAAAAAAAATATTAAACTTATTAACTCCATTACGGAAATACAACACTATAACAAACACTATAACAAAAACGCTACTAAACTTAAGTTTTTACTTTTACGGAAGATACATATAGTGAGCTAAAAAGGCTGTACAGGGTCCTGGGAACTACGTCTCTAGGAAGCGGTAAAACTTACATAATGTGATACAAACCTGAATTATTTTCGCAACCTGCGACACAGCATTTAGTATTAGACATACTAAATAACCAAAATTAACTGCACCAACAAAAAATGAGTCCTGTCTCTTAAACACGTATTTAGATTAGTAAACACAAATAGCACTGCCGGAGGAACGTGGAGCTCAACTCAACGGACTTAGGTAGCAAAAGCGTCACTAATAATTCTAAATACAAGTAAATACAAAACAACACGCAATGGTTTGAAAGAAACTGGCAATGGTAACCTGGCAACGGTTATTTCGTTATTTGTTTCTGTTTGGTCTATGGTTAAGTCATCATAGACAAAATTTGAACATTGCTCACAGATAAGATAGCTTTAACTTTTGCTTTTTTAATTACAGTGACATCTAACATTGCTTCGTATTAACTTTTTCGACAGCGCCATCTGTACACAAGTTTTGTAATTATTGATCCTTACACTTATTGTCTATGTCTAGTACTAAGATTGTGAGATTGTGACCATTTCAGTATATATGTCTTATCTATGATTGTGACCCAAGTTCTCTCATTTCTATTACATACATTATAACCTAATATTATTTAATTAATGTTTATATAAACAGTCATGAGTACTATCTTAATAAATGCTTTTAAGAGACTTAATTTGTCAATATCACCACTAATTAAAAGTATCAATTCGAAATATTCAACTGCTGTTACAACATCGGCAAATACCATTAGTATTACCCAGAAAGATTGGAAATATCCACCAGTGTATACTAAACCTCGAGAAGTATGGATCGAGAACTTAGATTCAGTCCAGGAGAAGAAATTAGGACTTTTTGAGTTACATCCTTTAGTTTTTGCTTCTGTACCCCGAATTGATTTAATCCACCGTAATGTGGTCTGGCAGAAGAAATATAGATGGGTGTCATGGTCCCAAACAAAAACAAGAGCGGAAGTGCGAGGCGGTGGAAGAAAGCCATGGCCACAAAAAGGTTTAGGTCGTGCCCGGCACGGTTCTATACGTTCACCCTTATTCCGTGGCGGAGGCGTTGCTCACGGACCTCGTTCTGGTAAAACTCACTTCTTCATGCTACCATTTCATATCAGAATTCAAGGATTGACATCAACATTGTCAGCAAAACTTGCCCAGGACGACCTCCATGTTGTGAAAGATTTAGAATTGCCAACTGATGAGCCAGAGTATCTAGCAGAGTTGATTGAAAGCAGAAATTGGGGTCCTTCTGTTTTGATTGTTGATGAGTGAGTTTTAATTTGTTGTTATAGATTTATAACATCACTACATTGTATAAAACAAAGTTGTCCCGCTGTTTGTCTGTCCCTATGTATGCTTAGATCTTTAAAACTACACAAAGGATCTTGATGCATTTTTTTCTACTAGATAGAGTGATTCAAGAGGAAGTTTTATATGTGTAATACATTGTACCTGTGCGAAGCCGGGTGGGGTCGCTAGTAGTCTTTATATACAAAACATGTTCTATTGTTAGCTATGAAATCACTGAGCTTTAAGTAAACTATGGTAAATTTTATGCACCGTTACTAATTGTATCATATACTACAATAACGGTAAATTATGTTATGATAATTATGTTCCCAACATTCCATGTGTAAATAAATTACAAGAGATTATATATTTTTGTTATTGTTTACATAAATATTTTTGAATGTTCTGTCAGATATTGTTAAATTTAGTTTCCTAAACTTTGTAGACTATATAGTTTATGATTAAAATCATAATAATTTCTTTTTCAGTTCTGACATTGCCCCTAGGAACCTGACAGTAGCCACCGATTCCCTTCCACATATTAATGTTATGCCTGTATATGGTCTAAATGTATACTCCATGTTGAAACATGACACTCTTGTGCTAACATTAGCTGCTGCAGAAAAAATAGAAGAGAGGATACTACATCACCTACATTCTATTACTACAGACCGTGAAGCATCATTCAAACTTAACCAAGTTTAAGTTAGAGTAATAAAGAGCGATAGGAAAAGAGGAGAATTTGGATGTAATGTTTTATTTTGTTTTAAATATAATCTATGTCTAATATGTATGTATTGTCACTTTATATCATAAATAGATGATAAAAAAACTGTCAGAAAATCACATTAAAGAATATAAACACAAATTAAATACAAGTATTTAATTTGACACAAGTAATTATTGTCATAAGACATAAATTCATAGGAATTTAAGGAACAAAATGTCTATATGTTTAATATTTCACCTGACAAACAGGGTCATCGCTTTGACTTCTTGCTTTCCCTTACTTGTTTATTAATTAAAGCAGCTGCCTATAACAAAAAAAAATTGTGTAAACTCTATATAACAAGACTTAAGGGACTGTGCATTTTTTTATTTTATATAGTTGTCATTAAATGGAGAGAAAAAGAATATTGATATATTTTTTCTATTCTAATATTTATTTACTAACATAGGGCATATTTTACAGATAACAAAAAGTAATACTAATACAAATAACAATGCTTAGTGCATATAGTGTTATTTTTGTGTGATGTATATTGCAGCTCTAGCATTTTAATTGTATTTTCTTATATGTATATTTTACTTATATCTTGGGATACTGCATAGTATATAATATAAATAGTGTGTAATTTACACAGCTTTAGTTGTTACTAGCTTAGGCAATTTAGAAAGTACTGCTTACACATTAAGCTTAATATTGCCATACTTTGACCATTTAGAGTGAGTGTAAATAAAGGGTATCATTGTAAAGATAACAAGGTAAACTAACTGATCTTAAGTTATTTAGTTGTTTTAAAGAGTTTGTAGTTAAAACAAATATTGTTAAGTAGAGTTTACACAGTTGTTTAGTATCCCATTTTGAATTTATTTTTAACCATGTGGCAATTGCTTCAAGTGATCACTCAAATAAGAGTTTAATAGATTGTCATTGTCTGTACTAATTTAACCTATGTATTCTGAGTAATGCACCTAGATGCTCTAGTAAACTGAGCTTAGAGGCAGATGTCCTTACAGTGCAAAATTTTCAACAACTGCTTGTTATTTTGCATATTCAGCAATGCATAACACTATCAAGTGATCATCTTTAAATTACAACAGCACTGAAATAACATTTTACAATGAATAGTCAAATGAGAGGTGTTACCTTTAATATTAAAATTATGTTTAGTAAGTTTAATTGAAAGATTTTAGACATTTTTGGCACTAAAGATTGCATTATATACGGATTGCTCCTAAGTGCAGATCAGCATTAAAAATGTAACCCTGCAATGCAATGCCACTGATTAATGCAGTTAAATTCATTAGGCTCATGGCTCACATTGAACCTCAATGGCCTATAAGTGACATTCTTTTTCACTAGACAATACTTGTGTCCATGCATGGCCCTACCTAATGCTGAGGCCCATGTAAAACTTTTGGGATCTGGCTATTCTCTATGTTGAAGCTTTAAATCTATGGAATGAAAGCAAAAACATCAGTTAAAATAAAATTAATATAGTACCACTGGGTACAGTAAGTGTGAACTTTCAACTATTCTTATAACTCACTTTATTTGATTCAGAGCTAATATTTCCTGCCATTTTCTGCCTTATACTCCATCTGAGATCTGACCAGTTATTCTCACCAGGTACATTTGGTTTATATTTTGCCCACAATGATGTGTAATAGTGATATAATGATACAGGGTCATTCTTTTTTTTTAATGATGGCATTGGTATTTTTATTACTGAAACAAGGAATATACATTTAATAAAAAAAATTATGTACTTTCATTGCTCAATAATATAACAAGTTATAAATAATATTACAGTTATTATTTAACGACTGTGATGTTTTGGATTCTTTTGACACTATATCTGGTTTCTTATTAACTTTTATACATGCACATGCTCTATTTGGTAGTGCAGTATCCACTTTTTGGGCACCAATGTTAGGCTCTGAGTGAATATTTCGCAAATTGAAAATCTTTTTCGAATTTTGACAGTCTCTAGAGCAGCATATCTCACTTATTGCACCTCTCGATCTTGTTCTAGAAGAGAATGTACTTGCACTATGCAATCTCTCAGGTCCTATTGTAAATGTTTTCTTATTTAAAATATCATTTCTATGCTGCAAGTCGTATTTTATTAGTTTCTTTAAATCTGAAATAATATTATATTAATAGAACAAAATATATTTATTTATTATTATACAGTAAATGTTTTAATAATGAAAGCTCATCTTGCTTTTAATGTGACCATTTTACCCGTTATAAAGTATTTTAAAACTTCGCCACTAATGTTGTGTATTCCTAAATTATTCAAATATCGTAATATTTCTCTAGCATCTAACTGCGATGTTATTTCATAATATTCGTCACTGTCCATGACTACTTTAACGGTTCCAGAAGAAATGAAAAATTGTTCTAATTTCCTTCGTAGACTTCGTGTTAAATGCAACTTTTATTTAACAGTTGCTAACATAATATAAAGCAAATCAGATAAATTATGAAACTGTGGCCCTAATTATACAATAATACTGACGACTGACGAGTTTAAGCTTAAATCAAAATAACGGAAATGGAATTGTAATCTTAGTTGTAAACATTAGGGATGCCGAAAAAATATTGATATATCGATATTTTTGGCAGATATATTTTTATCCGATATATCGATATAAAAAATTGAATATCGAAATCGTATCAAAACGATATTTTTATTCAAATTTCATGCACCTAAATATTAACCGATACAAAACCATGAGATAAAAATGAACGGAAAAACGACCGTTGTCTACGACTAGTATTGTCGCGGATGCAGTGTTGTATTTTGGACTATAATTATGGCATTTATACCACAATTTCACGCTTCGTAGTTTAAACTATCCACAAGTAAAGTACAAGATGGTACAGAGGTGTTAGAAATCATTAATATTGAACAACATGTTAAGCTAATTTATAAATAGCATGCAAAATATTATTCGCATCAACTAAAGTTACTTTAATTTATGATGTAAATAAAGTGAACAAAATGTCACATAAAATAATATCAAGTTTTCATAAAAAAATATTTGTTAATACGTCATAAAAATTATTATCATTTAACCACACAAGTAACTTTTTAAAATTATCGTTCAGCATTTTTATGCCATTCAAACAACTATTACTAAATTCTACTGATCTAGGCCTATCTTCTAAAGCAAGTCTCTGTGCGTTTCTTTTTGACCCTGTTTATTAACTTGTTTTTGTTTTTTAACAATTGTTTTTTTTGCGCAAATTGTTTTTTTTTTGTTGCAAAGTTACATGTATTTTTATTATTTGTTTCAAGGCTAAAGAAACTGATTTATCTTACTAAATAAGCTGCTTGTTTTATGCCAATGAAGGTCTTGATCAATAATGTAACAAAAGAAATTTGATTAAAATTAGAAATTTATATTAACAAATAATTAATGTTTTATTAAAATTTGTCTTTCATCAAAATAATATGATTTTGGTATAAAATTAGTATTTTTTTTTAAACCGAAAACTTGACCAATATATCGATACATCGAGACCGATATTGATATTTTTTATAAATATCGATATATCGATATATTTCTTTTTTTTTTTCTTTCTTTAATAAATGGCTTCTCATACAAGTATTCTGCCAACAACCGATATATTTATTGACTTTCGATTTTTTTTTTTTTTTATTTTTTTTTATGGGAAAAAAGCAGCAAACGAGCAGGAGGCTCACCTGATGGTAAGTGATCACCGCCGCCCATGGACATCTGCAACACCCGAGGGCTTACAAATGCGTTGCCGGCCTTTTTGAGTACGCTCTCTTCTTGAAGGTTCCCAGGTCGTAACGGTTCGGAAAGACCGCCGGCGGCAGTTGGTTCCCCAGGGTGGTTGTGCGAGGCAGAAATGCCTTGAAAATCGCGCTGTTGTGGAACGCTGGACATCGAGGTGGTTGGATGAAATTTTTGGTTTTGGCGCGATGTCCGATGGTGAAATTCAGCCGCTGGGATCAATCCAAACAATTCCTCGGAACACTCCCCGTGATAGATGCGGTAGAAGATTTGACCCAACATTTACGCATAGCCAAAGGATCAAGCTGATCGGAAATACCTTGATCGTCGATAACCCTAGCTGCCCTACGTTGGATGCGGTCAAATGGAAGAAGCTGGTAACAGGGGGCTCCCGCCCAGAGGTGAGAGCAGTACTCCATGTGGGGCCGAATTTGCGCCTTATAAAGGTTTAGGCGTTGAGCCGACGTGAAGTATGTCTCGCCTTGCTGAGCACACCGAGCTTCTTTGAGGCCAATTTGGCCTTACTTTCCAATTGACCGCGCGGAACTGGACATTGCTCGAGATTTCGACGCCAAGTATTCCGATACTAGCTGTGACAGACAAGGGAGTGTTCTCAAAATGAGGAGTCGATACGACAAATGGGGACTTTTTAGCGGTTAACGCGCAAATTGTCCAAGACTTTTTCTTATCGGGGTTGAATTGGACTAAATTTAGTCGACCCCAGTCTGAGACTTTTGTTAACAAAGTCTCGACTTCAGACACAAGTTTGTTCCGGCTCTCGTAGACCGTTTTCCCGAAAATGTTAGCAACGAAACATCCACAGTGCTATCATCCGCATAGCAATGAACGCAACATATCATTGATATGCAGAAGAAAAAAAAGTGGGGGACAGTACGCAGCCTTGTGGAACACCAGCATTGACAAATTTAGGATCAGAGCATGCACCGTCGACGACGACCTTGATGCTCCGATCTGCCAAAAAGCTAGTGATCCAGTTGCATAACTTCCCGGGAAGCCCATAGGAAGGCAGCTTCGAAAGAAGTGCTTTTTTGTATAACACCCGATCAAAGGCTTTCGCTACGTCCAACTGGCTGCAAGCGCCTCCCCCTTGCTCTCAACTGCTTCTGCCCATCTGTGTGTCAGGTAAACCAGAAGATCACCGGCTGAGCGACCTCGACGAAAGCCGTACTGGCGGTCGCTAATCAGCC